CGTCCTCCCTCCGCTTCCTCCCTCCACTTCCTCCCTCCGTCCTCCCTCCTCCACGCGGATGGCATGTCTTCCACTGACCTGAAAGAGACTCCCTCCTATTCCTCACTCGTCCTGCTCTCTTCTTCACCTTGCTCCTCGTTTTCCCTCATCCTCCCCCTTCATGATCGATTTCCTGACTGTCACGGGGACCATCTCCATCCCCCTCAAGCCGTCGACCCCGCACGTGTGCATGTGTGTGCCGGGTGTGCCCCTCCCGCGCTCCATCACTTCGCCACCATCCGACATGTGCATGTGTGTGCCGGGTGTGCCCCTCCCGCTCTCCATCACTTCGCCACCATCTGACCGTGGCAAGTGTGAAAGGCGAACTGCTCCTTGTCCTGCTCCTCCTCCCGCTCCTCCTCCTCCTCCTCCTAGCGCTCCTCCTAGCGCTCCTCCTCCCCCTCATCCTCCCCCTCCTCCCGCTCCTCCCGGTCCTTCTCCCCTTCCTTCTTCCGCACCTCATCCTCCTTCTCGTCCCCCCCTCGCGGAGCTGAGCCACGCGGAGCCCGGTTTGCACTGGCCTGCCGCGGGACGACAAATCCAGCAATTCCCTGGGCCCGACGGCGACTTTTCCTCCGGCCTGTTTCCCTGGCCCGACGTGACGCTCGGCACCCGACGACAACTTTTCCTCCGGCCTGTTTCCCTGGCCCGACGTGACGCGCGGCACCATTTTCGGCGCGGGCCTCGCCCTTGCACCGGTTCCCCTACCCGGTTCCACCCCTCCACAGGTTTCCCTTGGCCCTGCGACCGAGCATGTCGGCTGGACCCTTACAACTCTCATCCTCCCCGTCCGTCCTCCCCCTCCTCCCGCTCCTCCCGGTCCTTCTCCCATTCCTTCTTCCGCACCTCATCCTGCTTCTCGTCCGCCCCTTGCGGAGCGGAGCCGCGCGGAGCCCGATTCGCACTGGCCTGCAGCCAAATCCAGCAATTCCCTGGGCCCAACGGTGACTTTTCCTCCGGCCTGTTTCCCTGGCCCAACGTGACGCTGGGACCCGACGGCAACTTTCCTCCGGCCTGTTTCCCTGGCCCGACGTGACGCGCGGCACCGCTTCGCCGCGGGCCTCGCCCCTGCATCGGTTCCCCTACTCGGTTCCACCCCTCCACAGGTTTCCCTTGGGGCCGCGACCGAGCATGTCGGCGGGACCGTTACAACTTTTAGTAGTATAGAGAAGAGAAGACAAAAAAACAAAAGGAGGTTGGTTTCCTTAGAAACGAGGACAGGGCAGCAGGAAAATAAATCTCAGAGCCTCTTTCCGACCCTGCCTGGATGCCAGGCAAAACTGTTAAAAAAATGGCCAGTATTTTTCCATGGTGACCTGGATGGAATTAAACAACCGGCGCCGCCCCCCCCCCCCCCCCCCGAAAAAAAGGGCTACCCCCTATTTTCGGACCATCCGGACTGGGATCCAGAAACCTGGACCGGATGCTGGACTCCGGACAGTCGGGATCCCTGTCCGGGTGTCCGGATCGTAGCTACGGTAAAATATTACAATTCTGAATTACCTACCCATGGCCGGTCAGTTCTGTGATGACATCTCAAGGCCGTCGCCCTTCTTAAAGAAAGGTTGTGCTCAAAGCTTTGAAAATGGAGGATGCGGTTATGTGCCGGAGACATCACGACCAATTAGCACTAATGCTCCCAAGGTCTTGATGTGTTGTGCTTTGTCCCCTTTCGCGATCTGATTGCTGGACAGGTGGCCTTTCCAAAGCCCCCTGATGGTGAAGCCGGCGAGGATACCGTGGAGGCGAAGTATGTCAGGGCTTCCATCGATTGGGTTAATGGAGACTGGAGCATAAGGACAGTGAAGGTATGAATGACTCAGCGTGAAAAGTTACCAGATGACAAAAAAAGTGCTCATCAAACCGAGGGGGGGATAAAAACTCTGCCCTCATGGCTAAGTTCGACTCAGTGTTTGGGGAAAGAGATTTATTTATGTAGTCATGTGGAATTACTTTGGAAAAGACAGAAGAGCCGAGTGTTATGATCCTGGCCAATTTCGAAGTACACAGTCGTGAGAAAGTACAATGCCGTCCAATTTCAAAACGAAATGAATGAACTTGAGAGGAGAGGGAGGGAAAGAAGAAGAAGAAGAAGAAGAAGAAGAAGAAGAAGAAGAAGAAGAAGAAGAGGAAGAAGAAGAAGAAGAAGAAGAAGAAGAAGAAAGAAAGAAGAAGAGGATGATGTACACCGGCATAGACCAATGATAATTCCCTTCTTCTTCTTCAACCACTCTCTCCTCCTCCTTATCTCCTCCCCTCTTATTCAAGCAAGAAATAATAATAATAATGTTGAATGGCTGAACGAGAATCAATGTCCGAATCCCTCTTCTACTGCAGGTATCACATGAGGTCCACCATAGCCATGGCCACCCTTCTTCCTCCTTCCTCCAAGACCGAGGCTATGGAAGACTACCAGGGCATTGCCCTGCTGTGCAAAGGACAACCCAAAGCAGCTGTGGCTGCTCCAGCTCAGGCCACCGTGCCTGACTCTGCCTCAAAGCTTCTTGGTGTAGCTCTACCCCACTGGGGCCTTCCTGCTGCAGCGCCCACCAAGGTGATGAAGATGGCAACCACCATAGCCAGGTAAGTACCTCTGGCTCTCCCCCTTCCTAGTCCTTGTCTTCCTCCTCTCTCTGTCCTTGCTCCTTCCCCAGTAGCGCCAGTGCTCCAACCAGTGTGTCGCCAAACTTGCGCACAGACAATGAGGAGGAGCACTTCGCTCCTCCTGGAGATATAGCGGCCTGCTTGCCTCTTGGTGAGTGGCTTCCTAGGCCGTGCGGCCTCCAAGCAACAAGTACCTCCTCCCATTCGGAGGGAAACATTATTGCAGACTCTGATATTGCCCGTACAGGCCCTAGACTCAGACTGGTTGGACTGGTACCGCCTAGACCGAGCCTACAACCACTGGGCCTCTAAAAATGCCTACTTTGTCTTCTTCTGCACGGCCTCGAGTACCCGGCACATCCACCTCTACCTGGTGTGGTACCGACCTACCTGCTGCTGTTTTTCTGCTGCTCCAAGTGTTGCGGGCCTCTTTCCCCGCCACTTTGTGTTTTCCCCGCGGCAACCCTCATGTCACGACCACAGGTAAGTATTCGACCCTTTGGGCCTTCCACACAGACAAGTACCCTCGCGGGTCACACACACACTCAAACCGACAAGCATGAGACAGGCACGCCGACCAGCAAGCACGTACACACTCAGACTTAGAAAACTCAGCACCAAGCGGGAAACTCAGCAAGGCATACCTTCCACTAGCAAAACTCAGAAATCAGCTGTGTGTCTCCGTCCGTGTTTGGCAGGTCCTAACACGAGTGTACAATGGAAATGTGAACGTGGAATGTGGCTGAATAGAGTCTGTGAGAAAATAGGCAGGAAGAGATGACAGAGAGGAGGCCATGCTATGAAGGAACCTCGAGATGTGTATCGATGTGTTCTCACAAAGAGACAAGAAATGGGGATAACGCTTTGAGAAAAAATGGTATGTTTGGGACATCCTGTCTGTGACCTCTGCTGCTTCTTTCTTTATTTCTTTCTTGTGTCTTTCTTTCTTTCTTTCTTCTCTCTTCCTTCTTTCTCTCGCTCTCTCTTTTTATTTGACTCTTTTTCTTTCTTTCTTTCTTCCTTTTTTATTAAACCAGGCTATATTCTTCTCTCCTTTTTGGATTTCACTACCTACCTACCACTACTGCTAAAAGCCTATACAGGGAACCCCTGCAAGCACAGCTACCTCTCACAATCAAGGGGATGTATGTTGCTCCCCCGCCCTAATTGGCGGTGGTCAGGGAGGAGGGTGGGGCCACCGGTGTGGGGGGGGCTTCCTTTGTCTACACCTCCTGTGCTGAGTGCTACACTGTCAAAATAATGGAGCTTGAGAAGGAATAGAAATGAAATGGAAATGGCCGTTGAAATATGAAGTGAACATATGGTGGGTGGTGGAAGAGATTGAAAGGGTAGGAGGGAGAGAGGCGAAGAGGAATGGCAAGAGACGAAGAAGTGGGTGAAGATAGAGAACCTAGGAGAGAAGAAAACAAGGGAGGTTATATATGTGAATCTGTGCTGATCATAGGAAAGGATTGTCGAGGGCCTTGACTTTCGTTCTCATTCATGCCCTATCTTGCTCTCTCTCCTCTCCCTCTGTCTTCTTCCCCCCTCTCTTCCTTTGTGTCTCTAAATCTTTGTCGGTCCATCTGTCTATGCTTAATGTAAGGCTGGAGAGTGGTCTCATTTTGGAGAGTTGACGACCACCAACTCAGCATGTGCGAGAAACAAAATACACCCATGCCGGACGGCATCAATGAAGGAGGGGAATAGAGCGGATCATGATGTGGAGGAGGAGGAGAACATGGGAAAGGAAAGAGGCCGGATGAGGCTATGTGCAGGAGGGAGTGTTAACTGAATGTGTCCTGCAGCCGCTTGCTAATGCAGTGGCTAGCATGTGTGCACATGTGTGTGTGTGTGTGTGTGTGTGTGTGTGTGTGTGTGTGTGTGTGTGTTCACACACACACACACACACACACACACACACAGAGAGAGAGAGAGAGAGAGAGAGAGAGAGAGAGAGAGAGAGAGAGAGAGAGAGAGAGAG